TTTTCCTCTGACACTCCGAGTTGTTGCTAGTCCCTTGCCATTCTTGCATACAGTGTAGGAATATTTGCCCTGCATTGTACTTGATGATGTTGGCATGTCTTTATAAAAGAGGCTTTTAAGGCACATCACGCAGATGGAGGGAGCTTGTAGGATCAAGGAATCGGGTAACTATTACACTTTGTGTCCTTACCCTTACATTTCATCATCGTTAACTCTTGCAGTACAACGGGGGCCCCACTGTAAGGGTATTTTATTTTCCCCAGTCATCTTCCAGGACAGCCATCGAGATATAGGCTCCGCCTGCCTGCAACAGGAAACACATCAACCACATTAAATAAAAAGACTCCTCCTTCTATCCCAAATCAGTTTTTTTTTTTTGTGTTTCCGCCGGCTACACAAGGACATCCTAATGTTTGTTGTTTTTGGGGCTCATATTTGTTTGCCTTAGGGCTGAGCCCTGCTTTGTGTTGGGACCTACTCCAGGATTACCTGCTGCAGCGCATACAGGGCTTCCCTATCGGACCACCAATCCGATTCTTGGACAAGGTTCCCTTCCATCACTCAGGGAAGGCAACCATCCTCCTGCACGTGAGTAGGGGCCAGATGGTGGCCCCCCCTGGTGTACAGCAGTGGCAAGGGTATTTTATTTTTTAATGTACCGTACTTCTCAAAATTCAGTGTTAAAAACTAATGACATTATATAAATCTGTAGAACAGACCCTTTCGGTCAGCAGGCATAGCAAAATGAAAATTATTCCAAAATCTGACCGTCTGGAAATCATTGTGATGGAAAGACAGTGAACTCTACGCACACAAAAAAACTACTGAATCTGCTCCATTTGTCTACTGTTGCTTGTGTGTTGTTTTTTTTTTTGGATTTTTTTTTTTTTGGGGGACAGGACACAGACCTGTTGCATTGTATACAATAGCTTTCTTGCAGAGCAAGAAAGCTGCGGCACATGAAAAATGTCACCTAGACATTGCCGTGCCACCTGTGGGAGAAGACGTGTTTATGTATCAGGGTAAAGAAAGTGTAATGGTGGAAGCCGCCATCTTGTAAATTAAAGGTCAGACATTTTTACTGTCTTCCCTATCTGCTGCTTGTCACAGAGTGAGAAAATCCAGCAACCTTACTGCCCTTTGCCCAGATTTTATTGTCCCCGCACCCCCTCAGTGGGATGACACAAGTCATGCTAAAACTATTACAATATACTGTACGCAGCTTCATTAACGACAGTGGTTATTTTAGGCGACACACATACATATTTACAGGTGTAGGAAACCATTCACAGGAAATCATTATAGCATGATAGTGGGGAGGCGGCCACAGATGTTCTCCTCTAGTTAGGCTTCATTCGCAGGTATGTTTTTATGCAGAGACCTGTCTGCAAAATCTGTCAGGCTAGACGCTGTGTTTATTCTTCTAGAAAGATGCTTAAAATGATGCGTGTTTGCACTGATATGTGTTTAGATGCATCTGTCCATTGAAACAGGCCATTGAAGTAGCCAATGAGATTTCTGCAAATAGTAAAGGCAAGAATGTGTCTTGCGTTTACATGCGTTTTGGTGCATTTAGAACAAATCCATTTCTGGACGCACCTGACTTTTCTCTTTTTTTCTAAACGCAGCTAAACTGACTAACTAAAAGCATCTAAATGGAATGACGTGTTATTCACAGACAACATTATGGGAATTGCATAAACTACCGATTTGAAAATAAACCAGAATATCCAGTTTATTGCAGGGAAGTTGAATTGGAGATCTGTGGTTCCAAAGCACCCTTGTTGCAAATTCCAATGACAAGGTGAATAACTCGGTAAAGGTGATATATCATGCTAGCCATTTTTAACCCCCTTTTATATAAAAAAAAAAAAAAAACTAGAGCTGCAACTATTTATTGTCATAATTGATTAGTTGGCCGATTTTTTTTTTATTTTTTTTTTTATTCAGGTTAATACAAATTTCCTTTTCTTTTAAAAAAAATATTTAATAGTTTTAATTATAGATAATGTATTAATTTAGTTCATTATTAAATGTTGAATTATTTAATGGACATATCATATTCATTCTTTCTACATAGCCCTCATCCCTGGCATATGTCACAGAAAGAACTTGTGCAGGAAGGAAAACATTACCAAGCAGACTTCTCTCCTGGACACATTTGTCTGGGGGAATCCGATTTGCCGTACGCTTGAATCCGTGTCCTGGCGCGCAGTCAATGGGCTAGAGAGGACATTGCAAGACACGCTGCACGCAAAGCTCCACGCACCATGGCTTCCCTTTGGTTTGCGTGGCTCCGTGTGCAGTATGTCACAGGCTTAATTATGTTCGCAGCCCATCCGGCATCCTCCACCATCTGTGTGCCCTGGGCAGCCGCACCGTCTTATCGACTAGTTGTCTTAACCCTAAAGTAAATTCAAGGTCAAAAATGGTTTGCTCGATATACATCACCTACATTACGGAGTTATTTACCTTGCTTGTCATTTGAATTTGTAACCAGGGTGCTTTAGAACCACAAATCTCCAATTCAGCTTCCCTGCAATAACTGGAAATTCTGGTTTATTTTCATAATGGTAGTTTGTGACTCGCATAATGTTGTCTGTGAATAACGTGTCATCACATTTGTTCCAGCACTGCTGTAAAATGTGGG